AGTTGGATCAATTCATTATTTCTTTCCTTATTTGTTTCTCTGATTTTTGTTATTTTGTGCCCACTTCTACACCTACTTTTTGGTTAATACATTTTATTGTTATTGTTTTGGTTTTAGCCATAGGGTGCACACACTTAACAGAGAGCGGCAGACTGAAACAAAGAAAGAAAAAATGAGAGATCAGCCCCTCAGGAGATGGCCATGCCACAATCCCTTTTAATGCTCCTCTCGGGATTTTGGGCACACATGCACATATGCCCAGTATGAGTTGCAGGTCACTGGGTCTGGGGCTCCAACTGTGGTCACCCACGTGAAAGTCCAGCACCTTAATCACCATGTCACCTGTTGGCTCTGGTTAAACAAGCTTTAACATTCTTTTTTTTTTTTTGTCTATAGGAGTTACTTTATTTTTTTCCCCCAGTATTATATGTACTTATCTTTTCAGTCTGCTCATCATCTATATTTTAACTACTTCAAATATTATGTAAAAACTTCACCAACATACCTGTTCCTTTACCCACTTTCTTTTACGTAGCTGTGGTTACGTTACATCTACATAAATTAAAAACCCTATGAGATCTTTTTTTTTGAGATGCTTTTGCTATAGGGCATGTGCACTCGCCAGAAAGACAGAGACATAGACAGAAAGCAAGAAATCACCCCCCAGGGAGGATGGCCACACCACAATCTCTTCTCCAGTCTGCTCTCGGGATCTTGGGCACACACGTACACATGCCTGGCGTGAGTTGAAGCCACCGGGCCTGGGACTCAAACTGCAATCAACTGCATGGGAATCCAGCGACATAGCCATTACTCCAACTGCTGGTCCCTCTATGAGATAATTTTATATTTTTTGCTTTCAATTTAAAAATTGAGAACTCAATAGAATAATTTTATATTAACCAGATAATCACCATTTCTAATGATGATGCTCTAATTTTTGATGCTTTGAATTTTCTTCTGACATCACTTCCCTTTTGTCTGAAAAATTTTCTTTAGAATTCTGTTTTTTTTTTTCTTTTTTTTGAGGGCACTTGTTTCCTTTATTGAACATTTGCAGAGAGCACCTCTGCTCTGACCAGGCAGCCAGGGGAGGAATAAGCAGGCAGGAGGTGAGGGCAGGAAGATGCCCACCCTCACGTCTAGTCCTTGAAGAATTGCCTGAAGATGGGACTCTCATGGCCCTGGGACAGAATCTCCACCTGGGTGTTTGGGGCATACCACATGTGGGAGATGAAGCCCTTGATCACTTGGAGACTGCCTGAAGCTCCGCTCCTTCTCATTCACTTTTCAACCCTTCCAGGTATAGATCTTGCCAGAGACCAGTGTCTAGCACAAAGCAGTCGTCGGGTATCAGCAGTTTCAGGGGTTCATCTATCTAGTGGCAACAGAGACCCTGTTCACAGCCATGGCCTGCGCTTTTGCCTGGTCAGCTGTGAGGCTTAGAAATTATTTTAAAGCAAGTCTTCCGGCAATGGATGCTTTTAGTGGTTCCTTTTTATTTACTTATTTATTTTTGCAAATACAAAATTCTGTACTAACAATTCTCTTCTGTTAGCACTTGGCAAACATTTTACCATTTCCTTCTGGCTTTCTTGTTTCCGTTGAGAAATTCACTGTCATTTGAGTTAGTTGTATGCTTTGTGTAATGTAACTTGGCCAATTTTAAACTTCTTTAGTTTTCAATAGTTTGATTATGACATGTCTGGATGTGGATTTCTTTGAGGTTATCCTGTTTCAGCTTCATTCAACTTCTTAAATCTCTCTGTTGCCAAACTTTAAAAGTTATCAGGTAATATTGTTTTTTCAAATAATTTTTTAGCACAGCATTCTTTCTGGTCTTCTGGAAATTCAATTATGTGACTGTTAAATCATTTATTTTTGACCTACACTGTTTCCTTCAATTTTTCTTTTCTTTCTTGCATTCAGATTAGATAGCTTCTATTGATTTAGCTGCAGGTTCATTGACTATTTCATCTCAAGTCTGCAATTAAGCTCACCCAATATAACTTTTATTTCAGTTTCTGTATTTTTTAGTTCTTATGTTTCCATTTAGTTCTTCTTTATATAACCCATTTTTATGCTAAAAATTTTCTTTGTGTCAAGGGTGTTTGTGATTGCTTGTTGGAGTACTGTAGAAATAGATGCTTAAAAATGTCTATCAGTGACTTAAAGCTCTGTGTCACAATGGCATCCACATCTGTTGAGTGATTTTTCCTATGGAAGCAGAGATTTTTCTTGTTTCTTATATGCTAAGTAATTATGCATTAGTTCTTAGAAATCTTAAATATTGTGTTAACAAACTCTGGGCTTTGTTTTGTTTAAATCCTAGGGAGGATGTTGATATTTTTATTCCCGACAGGCCTGGTTAGGCTCTGGTCACATGTTCCAACTTGCCTTTGGTGGGTCATGTCAGTTTTTAAGTGTTTGCAGTGTTGTTCAGGTCAGTCTCTCACACATACCCAGAGGCCTGCCTGCCAGCTCAGTTCTCAATGTTATTTGTCAGCTAATTATTAACAGGAATGCACCATATGTGTAAGCTCTAGAGGGAGCACAAGTTGTCATAACCAATTTTTGACCTGGCTTTCCTAACCTCTTTCCTCTCTGAGATTTTCCAGGTGCTTTCCAGCTCCCTGGTGCTCCCTTTTCAGTCATATAACCAGACAATGGGAGCTCTGCTTGGCCGCTCTGCTGCCCTCTGCTGCGCCGCTCTGCTGCCCTCTGCTGCAGCAGCACCCACATGCAGCGCCAAGCAGCAGTGAGCAAAAATGGAAAACAAAGCAACATGAGCCTTTCCAAGCTCCTGAGCCACAGGTGCTCTATCAGAGAATAAGGACCCCTTCCCTCAGTTCTGGTTCTTGTGGGCTCCTGAGGGGGTCTCTGCCACTAATGCCATGGGACAGCCTGGTGGGAGCCTCACAGAACAGAGATGTGATGGCCAGGCTTAGGGTCACATTGACTGGACTAAGGAACACCTAGGAACCCGAGTGATCATTATTCTGGGTGTGCCTGTGGGGTATTCCAGAAGAGATTAGCATCCAGTCTGAGTAGACTAGGTGGGGACTATCCAGTATTCCAGGACCTGTGGCTTGCAGACAGACTGCTGTGGGATTCGCAGCTGCCATATTGTGTGAGCCAATTCCCCTAATAAGTCCCCTCTTATGTATCTGTATCTCTCCTGCGTGTCGCTCCCTACAGGACCCTGAAATGGAGATCTGTCTGCTGCGATTGACTTCAGAATCCTGAGAGAGCGACTTCATACATTCTGTCCAAGTTCACAGGTGCTCTCTGTAGGAGAGATGGGATTAAGGTTCACTCAGCTTAGCTGGAAACAGAACTGTGGTCTGCATTTACACGTCCCAAGTGGGGATGTCTATGTTCATGCTATTGTCAGTGAGGAGAGCTAATATGCTCTGCTGCTACATTCTGACTATTGGGACCTTAGTATTTTGATTAAGGATATATAAAACGAAACACATATAAAACACACACAAACATATGTATTTTCAATAGCAAGGTTGGATAACACCAGGACTTTCGAGCCACACCTCACATGGAGCCTCACAGAGGTTCCATAAACTGCACTGAGGCTCCATAAGCCGCACTGAGGTCCTGCCTGGCTCAGAGTTCCACATGGCCATTGTGGCCTTGGGGGCTTGCACCTTGGTCTCTCCTCTGGAGTGCCACTGGAGAACTCCAGGCAGAAAACTGACATGGAACCCTGGTCCACTCTGGTTGCTATGTTGTGTGGGCTCAGTGGGCAAAGACAGGAGTGGGTAGGCCAGTTCTGGAGCTACCTGGTCACCCAGGCAAGGGTGGCTGGGTATGGGGTGATGAGAAATGATGGGATTCTCCATCCATTTTAGAAATTGCAGGCAACAGCATTTGCCAATGAATTCCATGCAGATTCTAAGAGGAAGAGAAAAGTTATGAGCAACTATATTTTCCATCTAAGGAGCAACAGGAAAACGGAGCCACCATTGAGCTGGGGAAAGTTGTGAGAAACATTTTGTTCTTATTTCATCTTTCCCACGTTCTGACATGCTGAGTTCGAAATGCAAGTGGAAGTGTAGAACATCACTTCAAATACAAAAGTTAGGACTCAGGGTTCCAACAGTCATGTGGTATTTAACTTGTGAAACTGGTGGGAAAAGACCACCAACAGAGTGCAGGAGACACCAGGCCGAGAGCATGTGATGCCCCAGTGCTATCCTGCTGTGAGGTGAACGGAGCCTGGGGAAGAGAAAAGGAGGGAAGCCAGGGCTCTGTGGCATCTGGCTGTCAAGCGCAGAAAGTAGAAAAAGAGTGAACCATGAGAGGGTTCAATGTTGCCAACAGCTCAACTCAGAGGAAACTGAGAAATTAAGAGGGGGCTTAGCCACACCCAGGTCACACCAGTGACCTGGAGGAGCTCCTGGGGAGTGATGGAGAAGAAGGCCAATTAAAGATGAAATACATACATATTTTGTTTATTCCACTTACTTGGGGGAGTTAGAAGCATTGAGGTTTCCATGGAAACACTCAGAACTGCCAGAAGGCATCAATGAACAGATACCCTTGAAGAGGCCTGTCCTCTCGTTTTCTCATGGTCTTACAGCTTAGGCATTCAGCAAAGTGCCTTGTACTCAGGAGGTCCAAATGAGATCTTTGCTAACCATGTGACAGAGTATTTTAGATGATTCTATTAGTCTTATTAAGTGTCATATATACACTGGGTCATTGGAAAAGTCATGACCCATTTTTGTATAGAAAAAATGTCATGACTTTTCCTACAAACCAATGGGGGGAAAAATATATATAACCGAGAGGTAATATGAGTTTTTCCACTTTTTCCTCAATTACTGTATAGCATATACTTCTTCTTTTCTAAGTTAATATATCCCTGATGAAATACAGATTACCAGGACAGGCGACATCATGAAGCCATTGCTGCTACACTTCTCATAAAACATGGACGCATATGATCAGGAGTTAGGCTAGTTCCTGTTTCTTCTACTTACCGTCCCCTCGGCAGAGCAGGGGCCCCAGTGTGAAAGCCACTTCCAAATGTGGTCGGTCCACATCTGTTATCAAAACCTGAGTGACCGGAAGGTGCTCCTTATGAGAAAGGACTCCTATGTCACTGGTCCTGGGAAAGAAACAACCGTCTGAGCAGTGTTCTGAATGGCAGACAGACAGCGCTCACTGCAGTTCAAGAGGTATTACGCTACATTTGTGCACACAGGACAGCAGGGAAATTAAACTGCTCGACTGAACTCTCACAAACCCAGGAGTGGGTTTAACGAGGTCACTTGAGGACCAGAGTTCACTGCTCATATTCCTGCCACTGCGAAGGCTGGGCGGGTCACAGTGGTCAGGGGTGCCTGCGAAAGACATAGATTCTGCAGTTGGGCAGCTCAGCGCACTTTCCCACTAAGCCTCGGGATAGGGCCTCTGTAACTACACACCCAAGAGGGCAATCTGCCTGCACAGAGGCCACCTGATGACGAGGTCTAGGATTTCCATTCTCAGAATTCTACTACAGGAGTTTTAAAAATTGTTACTGTGGTTATTGGGCATTTATTTGTTGATGCCAGACACTTAGAAGCAAAACACAATACTGATTCAGAAGCAACTTGGGGTAGGATCCAATGCACTGCTGACATCAGGAAGTGGATGATGTGAGTGAATAATCTGTCACCCTCTGCCCTCTAACTGCCCTCTAACGGCCATCTGCTCTCTAACTGCCCTCTTCTACGGCCAGGCCCTGTGGGTGGAGGATGTGGACATCAAAAATGCCAACCGTGACACCACTGGGAAGTCAGCAGGTATTACAGACTCACAGCAGTAACAGGAACATGCCGTGTGAGTCCGTATTTGGGAAAGCATTCTTATCTATTGTCCCAGTGCAAAACGGACTGGGACCGGAGCCAGAACACGGGGTGCCTACGCTAGCTGTCCCAACACCCACCCTCTGGACAGTCAGATGGTTCTGCACCTCTGAAGATGTTCCTATTTTCACTGAGTACTTGAATGACATGTGTTTTTCCGATTTAGGGACAAGTACTGGTGTGTCTAGTTGGCTTTGTAATGAATGCTCTGTGTCTGTGCAGACCGTAGCAACCTCCCCAAAATGACGAAGCCATCACTTACTCCAGGATATACAGGAAATACACCTGAAGGTGCTGCTTTCACAGGTCAAAATAATCAGTGATTTAAATGGTCCAGCTTACCTTTGAAGGTACAAAATTAAAATGATTAAGATTTTTATCTTATTTAAAAATTTGAGTAACATGGCAAGCAGTGCATATGGTTAAGATATGAAAAGATATGAAATGAATATCCTGAAAATTTGCACACAGGTTTATTGAGTCAGACTATTTCTAAATATCAGACTTCTTAACAACATAGTGAGGCACCAGGTGGAGTGTAGTTAAGGAAGCAGGTCCCACATGGCTGACTGTAGTTACAGTCCAGGACATAGTGGCTTGAAAATCATACTAGGTGCATGTGTGTACATTTCCCAAATCCTGAGAAAAATGGAGGTGAAGGGGGGTGATTTCTCACTTTCCCTCTTACTATCTCTTTCCATCTCTCTCCAGTAAGCACATGCACCCTATGGCAAAAACCTTAAAAATAAAACAAACATCCTGCTCCATCCGGGCAGGCCCTGTGACTGCTGCTCATGACACAGGCAGAAAGCTACAAACACATGAGCATCCAACTTGGTGTGGGACAGGACGGTCAACACAGAAGGTGCCACCAGGCTATGGCAGGTAGAGGTCAGCCTGGGAATTTACATTATGTGAGGATAGTGCTCCAAATTAATTCTTGAGCTTGCCAATTTATCTCTAAATATCACATATAAGGATTTTAATTCCTGTCATTGCTATTTTGATAAAACACTCTAAAAGGAAAATACAAATGTATTAATTTTGTTGAGGATACTTGAATTTTCTTTTTTTTTTTTTTTGAGAGTTTTTTGCTATAGGGCATGTGTGCTCGCCAGACAGAGAGAGACAGAGAGACAGAAAGTGAGAAATCACACCCCAGGGGGGATGGCCACGCCACAATCCCTTCTCCTCTCATGATCTTGGGCACGCATGCGCACGCACCCAGCGTGAGTTTTAAGCCACTGGGTCTGGGACATGAACCGTGGTCGACTATGTGGGAGTCCAGCGACATAGCCATTACGCTAACTCCTCATCCCAGGACACTTGAATTTTAAAAGACAATTCAGATGCTACACTTTTTAATGTAGAGAAAGCTGCACTTTTAAAAAAAAAACACTAACAATGAAGAGGGTTCTGAAAATACATAAATAAAATCATAATGTGGATAGTACGTATTTTTTTCTTTTCAGATAGTATGTATGAAAGTGAATATTATAATAGTATTTCATGATTTGTTGTTTGCAAAATAAGTTGCTGAATCCCAGGGAATTTGTAACAATTCTTATTTAAAAATTGCATATTAGTGCAGGCCACTCCCAAGGGTGCTTCCTTTTTGGAGGATATTGTTAATTGTCATAGTCATTGGACTCATTCAAAACTGCCCAATTTATAGTTAAATCTGTTTCTTCTTGCCTCCGTACTTCTTCTAAAATTTGTAAACATTGCATTTCTAACCATGATAATCTCTCACAAGTTTAAATACTCAGTAAGATGATTTCCAAACTTACCTCTTTTTTTTTTTTAACTCAGTTCCTAGTGCTCTAGAAATTATTCTTATTTTTCATTGCTTCTCAGTGGATTTTTGTGAGGTAAATAACTTTCAGTTGTTAAGAAAAGTACTGGAGAAAAATACAAAGTCCACTTTCATGTTCACTCACTATTCGGGCAGAAGAGGGACTGAAAGTAACCTAATTATCATCATCCAGAATTACCTATTTGAAAGCTCCCAGGTTCTCATTTTTTACTGTTCTACCTGCTCATCCCTCCAGCAAACCCAAGTTGTATTGATTACTATGACATGGAAATACACCACGCCATCTGGGAGAACTGGTCTCCACCTCGTCTTCATCCTCAGAATTATCTTAGCCACTCATGCTCATTGTTTCCCCATCATCGTTTTAGATACAGCTTGCCAGAAAAAAATAAGCAAATGTTTGTCCCTGTTTTGAAATGAAATGGAATCAGAGAAAACATCTGAAGGAGACAGACTGAATTTCCCTAAACACGGCTGTAATGTCATCCCTCTCATTTGGGTCTTCATGATTTTTTTTTTTTATTTTGTCTTTTTTCTTTTTTCTTTTTTAACACCAAGAAGGAAACCTCGACATGACTAAGTGTTATGGTATCTTTTCCATAAAAGTCTTACATGTTTTTGCACCTTTTTCTGAAGGACTATACTCTCTGCGGCTTTTGTACATGGTTTTAATATTTTCTTCTGGAAATACATTCTTCAATGGAATTGTTACTCTGAGATTCAGTCACCTTGCCAAACTCCCATTAATTTAAATAATGTTTCTATATATTCTTATAGAGTTTTTTGTAGTAATAATAATGCTTGCTGTTTATGAATAATGCAATCTTTATTTCCTCACTTCCAATCTTTTGTTTTGAATCATCTTATACATATATTTTACCTATTATTTTCTGACTTAATTGCATTAAAATCATTGAAACTGTCTATATGGTAACAACTCATAAAACTTTTTGAGTTTTGCTTTACGGAATATTGGGCAACCAGTTTCTGAAAATATTTCAGACATGCTTAATTATGTCTTCTATAATTTTATGAGTCTAACAAATCAAGTTGTTAATTTTGGTTTTAAAACATTCTATATCCTTATTAATTTTGTCCACTGGACAGGTTAATTCCTAACAGATGTACACAGAAGTCTCCCTTTATCCTGGATGATGAGTGACTCTCTTGTCACAGTTCTGTCATCTTTTTCCCTTACATATTTTCATTAGATGCATACAAGTATAAAATTGTTTGTTCTCTTTGGTGAAATTGAATAACTATTTTGGGCCTATAATTGGACATTTTAAACTCTCTTATTCTGTGTGTATCTTCCCAGTAAACTTTTATCCCACTGTTTCACTCCTATTATTTCTCATTTTTAATTCAATTTAATAACTACATTTAGATAGGTAGTATGTCACATCTGTGTAGGATCACTCACATATTTCCATCTTGTTTTGTATTTGTTGTCTCTTCTTTATAAATCTCATGTCCTAACTTCTTCTGGATAATTAACTGAGGTTTTATTTTTTGTTTTTGTTTTTTTTTTTTGTTTTGTTTTTGAGAGGTTTTTGCTATAGGGTGTGTGGGCTCACCAGAAAGACCGAGACAGACAGAGAGATAGAAAGTGAGAAATCACCCCCTGGGGGGACACACTACAATCCGTTCTCCATTCTCCTCTCAGGATCTTGGGCATGCACGCACATGCACCCAGCGTGAGTTTAAGCCACCGGGTCCCAGACTGGAACTGCGGTTGGCTACATGGGAGTTCAGTGACATAGCCATTACGCTAACTGCTGGTCCTAGTGCCCTGTGTAAGTTTAAGCAACTGGGTCTGGGACTAGAACTGCAATCGACTACATGGGAGTCTAGCGACATAGCCATTATGCCAACTGCTGGTCCCAAGATTGCCCCTTCTTGTGCCTGTCTACTTGCTTTTACTTTGTTTGCCTTTAGATTTTAGCAAATCCCTTAAAGTTGAACTTAGTAATATGTTAAACTATTTGCTTACTGATCTACTACTGCTTTCCCTTGAGTTCTACATCTGCACATTGAACCAACTGTGGATGGAAAATATTCTGCATAGTTAAGTATACGATGGTTGTGCCTATATCTTAACATGTATAAACTTTTTTCTTGTCATTATTTCTGAAACAATATTTATATAGCATTTACATTGTAATAGGTATAAATAATCTAGAGATGATTTAAAGTATGAGGAGGGATATTGTTGTTGCTTGCAGATATTATACCATTTTATATCAGGGACTTGAATATCTGAATTTTGGTATCCACAGGGGTCCTGGAGCTAAGCCCTGTGGATCTCCTCTTGGGATCTTGGGCACACACGCACACGCACCCAGCATGAGTTTAAGCCACTGGGTCTGGGACTCGAACCACGGTCGACTGCTTGGGAGTCCAGCGACATAGCCATTACGCTAACTGTTGGTCCCGATAATTAACTGAGTTTTTAAAATCTCATTTTTTCCTCCCCATGGCTGATTTGAATGGTGCATGCTACATTCTTTTATTTATTAAATTTTTTAGGGAGATTTTTGCTAAAGGGCTAGTGCGCTTGCCAGAGAGACAGAGAAAGAGAAGACAAGAAATCACTCCCCAGGAGGGATGGCCATGCTTCAATCCGTTCTCCATTCTCCTGTCAGTATTTTGGGCATGCATGCACACAGTGTGAGTTTCAAGCTGCTGGATCTGGGACTTGAACCACAGTCAGTCATATGGGAACCCAATACCTTAACCACTATGCAACCTGTTGGCCCTGATGTTTCATTGTTTTAGAGATTATGCTTACATGTTAATGTGTATACTTAAAGCATTTTAATGCTCATAAATATTCACTAAAAAGGTTCAAATTTCAATATTTTTATTTCTAAAGATTCTTTTAGGTCTTCTATAAATCAGAATCATCTTGGTCAACTGATTAAATTTGGGGACCAGATGTTGGCATGGGGTAACTCTGGGACTGATGCATGTGAGAAGGTTCATGGTTCAAATCTGGAGACCTCCTGAGTATGCTGGAGTGTGGTGCCCACGATCTGGAGCTGGCAGAGGCTAGGGGGGAACTGCGGCATCAAGACCTTGTTTGGGATGTTGTCTGTCTTGCTCACGGAAAAAACAAATAAACTTTTTTTTTTCCTTTTTTTGGCTTTGCTATAGAGTGTGAGCACCAGAGATAGAAAGAGAGAGGGAAAGTGAGAAATCATCCCCAGAGAGGATGGCCATGTCACAGTCCCTTCTCCTCCACTCTCCACTTGGATCTTGGGCACATATGCGCAGGTACCTGGCATGATTTTCAAGATGCTGGGTCAGGGACTTGAATTGTGGGGTCAGCCATAGGGGATCCAGTGCTTTAACATCCATATCATGTCCTGGTCCAAAATAAATTAACTTCTGAAACCAGATTAAATGATTGCTCTCTCATGCTGCAGTCCCAATATATAGATATACATGTAGGAGGGGACTTCAGAATGTTACTGAAAAATGGGAGTTAAAAGATAAGTTTATTCTTGTGCACTTTTCTTGTAAAAGCCATGCATATATTTTTCACAATACACATTTTCCATGAGTATTTTTTGAAAACCCCTTGTATGGATGTGTATTGTTAAATGTTACTGATGCCTGCTATTTACCTCTTTATTTCTTAGCCTCGGAGTTTACGCATTTCTTTCCTCACTATTTTTCCTTGCGTCTGTGACCGTACTTACAAGGTCACATTTTTTCTTTCATTCTGAAAATTCTTCTTCAGAAGTTCCTCTGTGAGGTCTGCTGACACCCTGTCCATCTGTCTGTTTGGATCTTTATCACTCGCTTTTTGAAAACCTCAGCTGCGGAAACTTCTGAGTCTGACGGTTATCCCCTCTGCAGCCTGTGAGCAGTGTGTCCTGTGCCCTGCGTGGCCAGCTGAGGTCTGCCGACTGCCTGACTGCCTTCCTTTTAAGTCTTTGTTCATGTCTGCCTCTTTTAACATTCCTTTTACTGTTCTTTGATATCACCGTGGTTTGTCTGTATTAGGTTTGCTTTTATTTATCCTGCTTGGTATCTCAAATCTGGAAGTCTCCCAGCTATTTGAATATCGCCTCTTTCAAATGGCCTGCCATCTTCTCCTCTGAAACTTCATTCAGACACGTGTTCGGTCTTCCCGGCACCACTCCTCGGCCGCGGCCCTTTCAGAGGCTCTCTGTGCTGTATTTTCTGTCTTTTATGTACATGTCGTTTTCATTTTACCACCCTTCGGATAGGTATCTAATATCCGATCCAAGAAGTCTTAGATTTCAATGATAATTTCATCTCTAAACATGAGTTGGGTTCTATTGTAAATCACAGTGTCTTTGTTAGGAATATCTGATGATCTTTCTCATGTTTTAATTCCATGGCTTGTTTCTGAAACGAGTCACGTATTTATGTTACGGTTCTAACACACCCGTTGTCTGGGAGTTCTAGGCACCCACTCCTACCCTACAGGTTTTCTGTCTTCTACCTCCCTCCTCTCGTGCTCTGGAATGCTGCACTGTGAGCTTGTGTTTGGTGGCACTTAGACTGTCAGAACTGCGAGGACCACACCGAGGGGGAGCAGGCCTCCAGTCAGGATTCCAGGTGATGCCATGATGAGCCCACGTAGCTGCCAGCCTCTGGTCACAGGTGGCACGGTGGCTAAGGTACTGGACTCCCACGTGCTGGCACCTGGGTAATAAAAATCTGAATTCCAACACTGTGTGAGGGTGGGTCTAAGGCGTGTTTCTGAGGAGTTAGCGTTTCTCCACCTAGAGGGCCACTGGGAGACTTGTCCTTGGCCTTCTTCTCTTTGGACCTTGGCCTCTTAAGATCCGACTGTGTGTAAAGTGGGTGCTCATCCTCCCCCATCCCAGACTGACGGCCTCCTCTGACTTCCCCGGGGTGGCCATTTAACTGCCCAACAGAAGTCAGGGAGGTCGGAAGAAACCCAGGTCAGCGACAGGCCAGACAACTTAACTTTAAGCAATCTGATGTTTTATTTCCAGTGGATGGGAAACATTAATCTGGCATTTCTATTTTATCTTAATAGAAAAATAAAAAGGAACATAATTATTGATAAGTATAGGGAGCCAAAATGTACCTCCCCAAAGAGATTCTTTGGCATAATGTGGTATAATTATGCAGAGGGTCTGCAGATAATTAACTTTAAAATAAGAAGTTCACTATTTATAAAAGAAATGTGTATCTATTCATATCAGCGCCGTAGACAGTGAATCCCAGCAGGCTTTCCTGATACTATCCGCTGCCTTCCTCGGGCCAGGATGGAGAGTACAGGTCACCCTGGCCCAGAAAGACAGGATGCTTGCATTTCCCCTGCTTCCTCCGGCTGACTCCAAACCTCCGCCTCCCGTAGGACGCTAAATCCCAGTCACTGGCCTTTCCTGGGGCCACGCGTGGCTGGTGCACGTTACAGTACACCTGCATGCCTTTCTTCCTATCAATCTGCCCATTTGCGAATTTTCAGTGAACCTCAGAGGACAAACTCCTTCACCCCTGCTACGTAACAAGAAATGGTTATCTTGGTATTTTCGGCTTCAGGTTAATGATGGCCACACCAGGCTTATCCTTTAACTAGCTAGGGGGTAGCTCTTTATTGTACTGCCTGTCCACTATCAGTGTAAGGTGCAGGGGGAGTACGGAAATCACCATTCGCTCCGGCCGGCGTCGCAGTTGCAGTCATGGCGAGAGTCAATGCAGGTCCCCTCGACTCCGCAGGCACACTTGTGAGCCTCAGGCAGGGCGCCTCCCCAGTACGTGTGTGTCTCACTGGTCCTTCCAACCCACCAGCTCACTGGGGGCCCATCTGAAAGACAAGTGTGAGAAGGTGACCCCCTCTGTGCCCCCACTACCTGCTCCCAGCGCCCTTCCTCGACTCCCCCTACCAAAATGGACTCTCGCAGAAGTGATCCCATTTTAACTGTATGGTAAGCTAATTTCTAGGCCGACTTCAGATACTTGAAAATATTTCAATATCAAGATTTGTTACATCCATGCTTTGTTCTTTTAGTAGAAAATAAATGAGGTGTCTCTAACTCCCTCAGGCATGGTATTGATAGATTTCTTACAAGGGTTCCAATTACGTAGTTTGTTTGGAAATAACATTCACAAAAGAACTAATGTATACACTGAACCTGAAATCTGTCTGAGATTCTAAAATGCCAGAAAAGAACATGTTATTACACAAATGTGTGGTTTACTCATGTGAGAACACTGACACTTCCTACCCTGAGATGCATGCTTGTGATTTTTCTGAAACAGAAAGAACTGGCTCTTTGTGTGGAAACTACAGAAAAGACACCGATGGGCCTTTCTCATGCTGAGGTGGATCCTGGGCCAGAGCAGCTCCGAGCCCACTGCAGCCTGTCCGTCAGCCCCACCACCTCCTCGGCTAACTGCAGCTGGGCCAGATCCTCGACTCTGCAGGACCTCTCGCTTATGCTGTAGACCCCACCAGGAACTCCTGCACACCAGAAAAGGGGAGGCATGTGCGGGGCGGTGGGGGTGGCAGAGGACCCCAGTTTGCGGAGGATGGGGCAGGAGGGAAAACTGAGTGATCAGTTGGCTCTGCAAAGATGCTTCTGTTTATTTTTTAATGCATTGAAAAGTTAACTCTAGGGGGTGAAAGATCTTTATAGCTCACTGATAATTAATAGATATTTTCCAATAAACCATTAAAAGATGTAACTATTCAACTTTTATTCTTTCACAGATTGAAGAGCAAAGAAATCATCTTACACAAATGCACAATGGTAGTTTACACTGGAGTTTTTAACTTGCTCTATGAAATAAGAACCATCGTGTGTTCATACAGGAGTAACCTGGAAAATTCATGCATGGAATAATTCAGAAGAACAGGATGAATACTGAGAGGCTGAAAGGAAAGGGGACAGGAGGACACCTCGAGTGGGAACAGCCCTGCTCCCTGACCCCAGTCCCTCAGTCCAGACACAGGTGCAACCCTCATGGCCCCTGCAGTCACAGAACGGTGACCAGACAGCTCCAGCGCTCTGTACACTCATCTGTGCCTACCGTTACACAGGTCAGTGTAATCGTTTTAAAGAATATTAGGGCACTCCATGAGAGGACTTCAAAACGTTCATGGAATTAACGCAACAGTTTAATATGGTGCAAAAGATTTTCAAACTGCATGCGTTATTTTTCGTAACATGAAGACCCCTCATCTCTATTCTAGTTAAGAGCATCTGGGACTCCCATCTTTCCACCCCTGGGCCAGGAGCTGCGAGGGAGAACTGGCCCCTGAAACTCCAGTCCCAGGACCCCCCAAGCTGGAAACCCCTGTCAGCCAAGTACACTTTTTTTCTCCTTCTCCTCTTTCATTTGTAAATTTCTCTCTTCTCACTACCACATAGGAGGGCCATTAGACCTACAGACACCCCACTCCCATCTTTCGACCCCTGGCGCACTAGTGCGGCGTGCGACTTTTTCTTTATTTCTTTATTTTTTTCTTATTTTCCTCCCACTGATCTGGTCCTTACTCCCTTTGTCTATAGCACCCTGGCAGTTTTGATAGGTCTAGAATGACACTTCTGAAATTGTCTAGGATTTTAAGACTCTCGGGGATCCTCCCTTTCACTGAACCACCTGTGAAGAAGGAGATACTTTTCTTTGTACATCTGAAGGGTATGTTTTTCCTTTGATCACATTGCCCAAAACAAATAGAAGAAAGACTTTGGCAGTCTTCATTCCGAGGCCAACAGGGAACACTCTTGCTCCTATTCGAGGAAACGTTCTCCTAAAAGGTATTTCAAAGGGAACGCATCTCCCAATGGTTAGAAGTAGAAGAAGAACCTCAGGTCTGAATAAAGAAAGGAAATATGTCTCCGACAAAAGAACACAGTAACTCCCTTCCTTTTCTTGAAAAAATAGAAGACGTTACAGAAATGTCCGAGATAGAATTTAGAACATTCATGTTGAACAAAAACTATGAGCTGGAACAGAAAGAGATAATGAATTACAGATGAGAAAGTCCTTCCACGATATGAAGGAAGAAATGGACATGCTAAGAAAGAATAAGATGGAACTATTAGAGGTGAAGTCTGTAATACAAGAAATCAAAAACTCTCTCGAAAGTATTAAAAGTCAATTAGACCATGCTGAAAATCGAATCTCTGATGTAGAAGATAAAACTTCTGACCTAGAGAAAACCACCAAAAAGATAGAGAAAATAACAAAAAAACATGAGGATAACATATGAGAAATACTAGATTCCAGAAGATGTCCTAAAATCCAAATAATTGGTATCCCAGAAGATGAAGAAACCAATAAGGGCATGGAAAACCTATTCCATGAAATCTTGGAAGAAAATTTCCCAAGTCTAGAGAGGCAATCAAGCATCCAGACCCAAGAAATACAAAGGACCCCAAATAGAATCAACCCAAGAAGATCTTCCCCAAGGCATATC